ATTCCCTCCCTACCCCCCCCCCCCCCCCCCCCGCACCGGGCGATGCTCATGGAAACCCATAAGTACTCTCAATAATTCCCTGCCACCATGGTTTACATTACGATGTTTATGTTTTTTCTGCAAGATATTTTTGGCGAAGCAATGCAGATTGCGGAAGTTGAAAATTTTATGAAATGACTTGTTTGCGAAGTGCAAACCGCGATTTTTCAATCAAACACAAATTTATGACATTCGAGCCGCGAGATTTCATACCTACTGAAATTATATGATATTGGAGCCGCGATATTTCAGACAAAAATAGGACTTTTCCAGACTAGGCTTTAACAATATGGCCCTAACTAAGGATGAGCAGCCTCCTTGACAAATGACAAGTTGACATGTGCCCCCCGCGGGCCCCGCCTCCTGCTCCTGGGTCCTCTCAGACTCAAAAGTCCCCATACTTCATTTTATCATCCAGGTATTTTAATCTTTAGCACAATAGATCATTAATTCATTAGATGCAACTTATTCCGGCGGACTAACCTTCACGACGGGACGTGGACAGCCTGACAGGAGGACGCTACGACCTTAGTAAAGTTAGTACGAGTACGACTACGCTTACGCAGCCCGCAGGTGTTTTGAGGTATATGACTGTATCGTGTATGTGACTAGGTATGTGAATATCAGTGACCACTGACCAGTCTATGGTGAAAAATCACATTATCATGTTTGCAAGCCACTATGGGCCAGCCGGACTCGCGAGTCAGACTCGCACGGCGACAAGTGTATGGGATAATGGGGCCTGGGGGGTATGCACCAGTTGTACCTTAACCTCAAGTATAGGATAATGTTAAGGATGCGAGCCTGTCCGGCGTTCCCACGCGGCAGCGTCTCCAGCACAGTGAGCACACGAATTCACATGGACCACTCTGAATTTCTGAAGTCTGGACAAGTAAATGTTTTAGCCGTCCGGATAATCGGAAATAATAAAAATCAAGATTTCACAAACATTAAATTACCTCTTAACATGATTTCATAACAATGGGAGGCAGCACATAAAATTATATTTCAATTGTAACAACAGACCGTTCTAAATAGATACGACCGTGTTTTGGAAAATCTCAACGCCACATCCTGCAACCTAAAGGTTGCTTCCCTTGATACAGTGTGTAAAATTTAAATAGAAAAGCATCACAGTTTATTAACGAAAGAACCTGCGAGACACCCAGAAGTTCAGTTTGCAGAAATTCAGGGCATAAAGTCCAAATGCGCGCAAATTTCATTAAATAATTGATCCGAAGTACTAAGTAGTTTTTCTCCTTAGGCAAACTCGATAAACTTTGGTTGAAGCGAAATAGTGACTATTTCGCTATTAACATAACATAATGATGTCGGCGCTGAAGTGTAGGCCTGATGTGGCCTGTCGCCGATTCTTTTCCTTTTCGTGCCTTGTTCATAGATCTAAACTCGTGTCATTGGACCGGATCTTTTCATGACTGACGATAGTTTGACGTAGCTACTAGACTTCCACCGGGTTCGATAAGGAGCTAGGCATTTCAAATCTGAACATATATTTTTCCATAGCTTTATCTAGTCTGTTCTTGAACGCGTTCATACTTGGAGCACATTATTATTATAGTTATTATTATTATTATTATCATATTATTATAAAGAAAAGATCTAGAGAACGGTCGCAACTTTTTTGTAACTTTTGGAAATGAGATCAAAAGGCTAGGACTGACATATACTGTATATGTCTAGATCAACACCGCCTCGCCCTCTCTGAGCTGGAGTCATCCCCAACGACAAAAAAAAAAATCTTAAATGTGGTCAAGCAAGGTTTGGCAAGTGAACTGGTCCTAATGCAGGAGGCAACCTCTCAGTTGCCCTTTGATATTTGTGGAGTTAGGTGTGTTGTGCGTGCGGATGGATGAGAAGTCTTCAGCAATGCAGCTGCTAAGAAAACGAATTGATGTATGAGCATCACATTATTGAGTTTAAATGAAAATAGTTAATTAATTATTATTACGTGGTTCTGCGAGGATTTTTTTTCTTACCAGAATTTCGATTGGATTTGGTATTAAGAATTTTTAATTTATGTTGATGAAAAATAATGGATATATCAGTGAAAAATAAAGATTCATTTATGGGGAATAATTTCATGCACTCAGAATAGTCCTCTATCAGATATTATTCAATCTTGTTGTAGTTAATCATTGGCCATAATGTTTCATTTCGTTTATTGGATGATTTTCGCTTAGCTAAATGGATAAATAATTAAATTATATGATCAGATCTTATTCTAATTCAGTAACAGCGACGCGATATCCATTACTTGTTCGTTGATAATGATACGTCTTTGATGGGACATAACGCATTTTTGTTCAATAAACCGCAACTATAATCAGTTTACGATCTACGTAAGCCTTCAAAGTTCAACACACACAGCACGGTCCGATGATTGTTTATCAAACACGCATTACATTCATGTTCTTTGCAAAATATATACATGCTATTCTCCACGAGTCACGAAGCTGGAGATAATATAACCTAAAAGCTTTAAAGCTCAAAGTTTGTTCTCGGTACCGATCCTGAAACTTGACGAATGGTAATACAATGAAATTACCACAGTTACCTTTTCCAGCGATGAATTTTGTAGCAGAAACAATTTAAATGAAAAATGTATTTCTGATCAGGTTGCGAGCAAGTCGGAGAAGCTTGACCGCAGAAAGATTTTTTTTTTCAGACGATCAGAACGTAACCATATGTTTCCGCCTTTAGCACTGTTTTTGGTATCTATTTTTCAACATAAATTTTTTAGTTCTGTTAATGCTCCTGCAATAACCAGCATTTGAGAGAACAGTTTCCCGGAACTTCGTATATTATTGACTACACACAAGGAACTTAGCGTTCAAACTGCGTGAAGGAGAAATGCGTCGCCTGACAAAGGTCGTTCGTATAGATGATTTAAATCTAAACTAAACTAAAATTTAAACTTATTCTATATGTCAGTGGTAATAAGAATCAAATAAGGAAATATATGGTTCATGTGTGATGAACACTTGAGAGTTTGGTGTGTATTGTACTTTGACCTTGAGCTTAACCAGCGCATATGCAGCTAAGTTCTGGAGCCCAGGATGTCGCGGCGGAAATTAATGAACAATTCACAGGTTCCCAGAATCACTCGTCCGTTGAGCATCTCAAGGGGACATTTTAGACTGCGTTACTCTATAGTTTAGTTGAAATTCGATCATAAACTGCATTGTAATTTCTTGGGTTGAATTATTATATAATAATTGATTAATTGTTTCTTAATTTTATAAAGCGCATTTATTTGTCTTCGTATATGCATAGGAATAAAGCTCCACTCTCCAGGCTACTTTGCAAAATTTCGCTCTGTCGGTCCCATAGTTTCTGTGTATATCGTGCAAATTTGCATTAGTAACCCCCTTACAAATACACAAATAATCATTGAAATTTCAATCAATGATTAGTTAATTTAGTATAAAATGACAATTGGAATGAATTAAACAATAAAAATCTTCTTAAATGATGATTGAAATGAATTTGTAACCCCGATACAATTCTGCGTTAGCAGACATCAGCAACACAATTGAGGTAGGATAACTTATGAGAAGGAGAGTGCAGCAGCGTACGTAGCTAGCGACTGCTTCTGGATCCTCGCTTCTTACGTAAAACTACTAAAGTTTACAGTTTTTATAAATAATACAATGATAATTGTTTATCTTTATTACTTGTTGCTTCAATTTTGCCAGCATATGGACATGAACTGTCATATAATTCTATAATACGTAGTTATTTAATTATGAACAAATTCAGTTTTAATTGTTCATACTAATATTCTAGTTTATTCTCTCAAACAAGGAACAAAAGATGTACGATAGAAAACCAAGATCAATGAACTTGAAGTGATGAAATTTTCGAAATCAAGGAGAATTTATTTAAAATTAGATTCATTATTGATGGTGTCGATATTGCTAACATCGTCTCATGAATCTCATTCATTCAAATTGGAGCCAAAAATAAGAACTGAGTCTCACAATATAAGCATTACTGGTGAATTAATTCCAAGTCAAATTTATTTCTTTTACCGAAATGGACACATTGCAAGTCAGCATCTCTCTGCTTCGCAATTCCAAGCATCTAATGAAGCCTTCAAAGAGCGTAAAATTGATCGTATACGAGATAATGAAAAAACCGAATATATTAGTATGTTTCCGCCAACGAGGGCAGTTGAAGAAAAAGCGTCCAATAAAAAAACTCTTAGAAAACGAGGACTCACCATCGAAGATGCACAATCTCAGGAGAATCTTGACTCGCCGAAAATTTTATTTTCGAACGATGTGAACGTAACCCGTCGGTTATCAGATGTGAGTGATGTGAAAGAACAACTCTACCCACTCACTGGAATTTTGAATTTAAGTACAAACTCAAGTATAAATCTTCCCAAACCCCAAACCTCTGCGCTTACACGGGACGGTGTGGTCACTACCAACCCCGTTCAAATTGGCAACAAAACGAACGACTTGAGTGACGCATACAGTGGAACTTCAGATGCGCTCAAATACGTGAATTTTTCACTAGTCAATCTCGCTTAAATAACATTAAGGAAGTGCAAGTGTCCGAAAATGCACATTAGCATCCTGCGTCTCAACGGAAATGTTTGCTCGCCGACCGATGTGGCCCCTATTGACGTTTTAATCCGACCTATCAACAATGACATTGTTTCTATCAGGGAATCAAACTTCGGGGCTGTGAAGGTGGAGGAGTTAAAATGTAGTTATCCAAGCGAGGTTTTGCTCATGTCTGAAAAAGATTATATAATGTTGCTGTCAGGGAATATTAGACACGAAGTTTATAATACTCTGATATCGTCGGACCAATACTGCCTTGAATACATCCAGCACTCAAATAACATGACAGAATGGGTGGCCATGGCCTGTGTGAAACCTCCTTTTGTACAAAAATGTTGTTCTGATGGATATTTATTCGATGTACAAAATCTGCAATGTGTAGAAGACTTGAAGAACTTTGAAATCAGACCGGGAGTTTACGAGGTCTCAGAGAAATCTATTTTTCAACCTCCAATCATAATAGATGACGAAGCTATATCCAGTTTAGGCACAGATTTCACCTCGCGAAAAGGCTTTCCTACATGCTCTGAGGGCGAAAAGTTGTTTGAACTAAAAATAGGAAATTATTCCAGTAATAACATTGAATTATTGCATTATCTTCATGAAGTGAAGCTTTTCGTTGATCACAACAACTTCTCACTCCAAAAGTACTATAATAAAAATGAGTTTTGCGTTGATGGACCTCTACCTGAATACGATGAAAATAAGGATTTTTACTCAGCGGTATTTTGCTACGATGATCCTCAGGTTTTGCACCACGATAGATGCACCAAAAAGAATAAGCACTGCATAAGGAAATGTTGTCCTACTAACGAAATCATCGACATGGTATCAATTGGCTGCAAAAGTCCTATGTCGTACCGCTACCTCTACCAACCGACTTTCTACCAGTCGTCATGGTACGACCACATGGTTCCTGTGAACAAAGCTATCCCCTACGAGGTAGTTTTTGGGGAGCCTCTCTGCTATCCTGTTGAATCTCATGAAGAATTTTATTTACTAGACGATGGCACGGTGTATATTCCAGCCATACAGCAGCTCTTCACATCGGAGAACTACTGCGTCGATGTCAGACAAGGGTGAGGGCCTTTTGGGAGGTTCAGTTTTCTTTTGGTTGTTGTACAGTACAATAGTTTGAATAGGAAGTACTGTGAAGAATCATTGGATAAAGATACGCTGAATGAGGAGCTTTTATCATTTGACATGAATCTACCATGTCTTTGAAGAAACGTTGAATGGTCACGATTTTCAATATTTATATGAATGAATAATAATTGACTAACATTAAACCTATCTGAATTAACGATGCTCGCAACGAGTTGGAATTAAAAAATTTGAAAGTCCTCTTTTCAACGTGTTGGCTTCTTGAGTTCAGATGACAACTAACAATAATTGTATATTAATGCTATTAGCTGATTTGTTTTTAAATTTTATAATGAGCATTCATCTTCTTAAAAGACTGTGTTGAAACAATAAATAAAATAGTACCAGTTACTCTTATATATCTATCTAAAAATAATGTTCTGGCTAGATAAACACAACTAATTCTAACCTTTCCTGAGCTCTACTATTGACTCCGGTCCTGACGAAGGAGGACCTCTGTTATGCTTGAGCTTGCAGAGCCCCAGCGCAAATTACAGGATCGCACTGACCTTGAATGTCGTGTATTCAGGCCAGCCTTGAACACCGCGCTTTGCTCCAGACACGCAAACTTCGCATACAAAAATACAGATAATGTTCAATATAAAGACAGGGATTTTATTACAGAAATATTACAAAGATTATTCGGATTGTTTCCTCGAGTTCCATATCATGAAGATTTTTGCGCCCATCACTGCACAGAAAATCACATGTCGACCAAAAATGTGTATATTATTTAGATTAAAATTTAGTGTACACGAATGGAAGAGATTGCTTCTATTTTTCAAAATATATTTGAATAGAGTTTTTCTCTCATACTCTATGTTTATACTATGATCCTTTCACTATCCATTGGCATATATCGTCCTTCCGTAGTGCAATTAGTTGATGTTGTGACTCTTCCGCTATTAATGCGGCTGTTATGATAATTACATTTCCCTTTAAGAACTTAAGCCCGGCTGATATAAAAATATTTTCATACGCTAGATGGATGGAGAAATGTTGCCTAATCCCGATGGATGCCTAGATTGTCATCCATTTACTAATCCAGTTTTCATTATTAATGGAGGCAAATAATATTTTCACGATCTTCTGTAACTTCAACCATGCAGTACTCTTCATATATTCTTAGATTGTAAGTTTGAGGGACCTGAGTGTACGATCATAACCCTTTCTTCGCAGATACGTCAACCAAACAGATGTGGTTGTGCACTACTGTCCACTGAAGGGTCGTGACACGTGCTGGAGGTTGCGTGTGACACTTTATCCCGTGACAATGGGCGTGTCGTGCGTGTTCCTCATGTGCACGTTGATCCTGTACAAGGTCGTGCCCGAGCTCAGGGTGAACATCAGCGGCAAGAGCTTCGTGTCGCACGTCTTCTCGTTACTCGTCACTTTCATCTGCTTCCTCGTCATCGTCGTTACCAAACTCAGCGACCGCAGCACGGTTCTCTGCCAGGTTGCTGGTGCGTAGCTATATAGATTATCACGATAAAATGTTTTAAAAGAAGGGGGTTAAAGGTCCGTTTTAGCTGAAGTGCTATAATATATTACTCATAATCTACTGAGCTTTTCATGTATAATATCTGTAAAGCATTGTTGAGACAAATGTATTGAAAAATATTGCTTTGGTTTTATTTGGCTCAGGTAATTCGTCTAGATCAAACTAGGCGATCAATTTATGTTTTTAATGGGAACAAAATATCTATGTATAATCAAACTTCGGATGTTCAATTGCTCTTTAGCAGTTGATGAGAGTTCTTTTTCAACTCCTAAATTGGATTAAATATTGCTTGTAAGCTTTCTTATTATTCAATACGTTGTGCAGCTTTCCTGTTGCAGTACAGCTACCTGGCGACTTTCTTCTGGCTCAACGGAATGTGCTTCGAGATGTGGTACAGAATACGGTCAGTATACTGTTAACTATTACTAATGTGCCGTGAGATATGGTTAAGAATACAGTGAGTACATCAGTTAAGTAGTAAGAATATTTCCATGAAATTTGTTACCCAATATACCCAGTACATAAGTGAAGAATGTTTGCTGGAATCTCGGTAAATGCAGTCAATAAGATAAAAGAATTAAAATAATAGTAGACGCTGAGCTCGCATCGTTAAGATCGTGAGAACGAGACAGCCCCATTCATGACGTTCATCCTACATCGGTACCTAAACTTCAATACTGTTACAAGTTTTCGTTGAATTTCGTTTCCGTTGAATTTGCATTCGCGAAGAAACTGTTCATTTAAAATCGCGAATGAAATTCTCAATGTCGTCCTTCGTGCTGCTAAATAACATGGCATCAATAGGTTGAATTCCGCCCCTCAAATAGGAGCGCTAAGTGGTGTACAGCAACTAACCTTTTCAAGCTGCTAAAGAGCCAAACCTGACTATGTGGGATATGCTCTAGGTGCAGAAAACAGTGCGTGCATCAGTTTAGTATGAGAGATGTGCATGGAGATGTTGTGCTGCAGATATGATGTTGTTTAGTTAACTATTCAACTACAGATTAGAAAGGTAGGATGTATGAGGTGCATGTAACGCTAAATTTCACGTCTACCAGCACCCGCCCCTTTTCTAGATGTTAGACTAACAACGACGAGCACCATAAATAACAGGAAGAGATGTATTTGACGTGATGCAGAAAGCGGTGGGAACTTGTGCTAACTTTGTTGAACGCACTTTACTTGTATTGATTGTGATTCAAAATTTCAAGTGATCGATGTTATATCATGCAACCTCGATGCAAAGACCGTGTCAAAGTTACATGATTGCAAAAGAAAACATCCTCGTACCAATATGAGTATCTGATTCTTTTTCGTCAGTGATTTTCCACTATGTAACGTCAACACAAAGCTTCTACAAAGCACGATGATGACGCCCGTTGCGTCACAATAATTTACTCTATCAAAAAAATGTTTTTTAGCGCATTTTCTCATTTATGGAAAAAATGCACTATTGTGCTCGCCATGTCTGTCCGTCATTCTGTCCATCTGTCTGTCCGTCCGTGACTTTACGTTTTCGTCGACGAGAAAATGCGCTCTCTGTCACTCACTGCGGTGAGTACAGAGTTATATATTTTTAGCGCATTTTTTCATTTAGGGAAAAAATGCACTATTGTGCTCGCCATGTCCGTCTGTCTGTCCGTTCGTCCGTCTGTCCGTGACCTCAAGTTTTCGTCGACGAGAAAATGCGCTCTCTGTCACTCACTGCTGTGAGTACTGAGTTATATTTTTCAAATTACAGTTTCCTACCAACGCAGTCATCCTCACCGTCGGAAGCGCGCCACAAATACAAGCTGTACTCCGTGTACGGCTGGGGGGTGCCTGCCCTGATCACCGCTGTCACCGCCGTCGTCCACTTCACCGTCTCCCAGGAGTCCAAGCTCGCCCCCAACTTCGGCAACCCGTACTGCTGGTTCAGAGGTTTACATCTGATTTTGCTAGTGTATTGTGTGTTGCCTCTGAATTCATCAGTTAAAATTATAACAGTTTTTAGGTTCATGATTGGCGCTGTCTTTCCTGTTTTTATTTTTAGCCACTCTGTGCTGGCTTCGGTTGGGCTATCCATCATAAAGATGTATGAGGATATTGTGCTGAAATGTAAACGTCTTGGAAATTGAATTTAGTGTATCCTTAATACTCAGGAAATCAAAAGCAAAAGGGAGAACAATTTCCATGTTTTTTTTAGATGAGCCCGCAACATGGCTGTACTTCAGTGGTATCGTAATGCTGCTGTGTACGACGAATATCTTCTTCTTCACTGACCTGGCAAAGATTTCAGTGATGCAGTGTTTGGGCAGTTCGCTGATACACGTGTCGCGGCAGCAGCATATGGAGAGGTGAACCATTTCCTTTCCGAATGTTAATTTCTTCTCGAGCGGTGAAATGTTCTTTAACCCATCATGAACTTTCTTAATAACATAATTGTTCGATCTCGAAATAATTTTTACTTTCCATGTAAATATAGTTTCGTGTTTGGCGGTTTGAAACAAAATAGTTGTATCGCAATGTGTAAATTTTTCATCTTTGTATTTTAGATTTACTTGATGAAAGTCAATGAAACCTATTTTATTGAGTTTTACTTTAAAATATGCAATTCAAATTAGTGCCGAGCAGTATTTGGATCAAAATGTGGAATGATTTTTTTTCAGGATCATGCTGTGCCTGAAACTATTCATCGTCATGTGGGTGACGTGGGTGTTTGAGGAGATTTCATACGCCGAAGGATCTTTCTGCAAATGGTAAGTCTTTTTATAAATCCTATCGTAAATTTGGTGAAATTTATTGAATTATTCAATTGGATTGATAGATTCTCTTTGTCTTCGTGAATTTCACGAAACAAAGTGAAATTTGTTCGCGCCTCGTTTGACGGACGAATTGTTTCAAAATGTGTTCTTGAATCTGTTGGGAATCTTTTAGCAACATTTTCGTACTGGCAACTATAACCTAAGAGGCGTTACGTTAAATTTGGATTTTGTTAGGATTCGGTAATGGAAGCTGGAAGAAAATGTGATAGAAGTATAAAATGCACAGTAGTCTGATTGATTTCTCGAAATATGTTTTAAATATCCACTTTAACTCATGATTACTCCAAGAAATAGAAGGGACTTATAATGTTTTTTTTCCAGGATTACAACGGACTTGATCAATATCCTGAGAGGCCCTCTCATCTTCTTTTCTCTTGTCTCCACAAAAAGTGTAATGAGCAAGGTGAGGTAAATTGTTAGCATTTCTCTAATATATTTTATCAATGCAACATTTTCGCTAGATTTGGAGTTTAGTTTTGTAAGTCTTGCCGAACCTCTAGTTCATTCTTCATATGTCGGCTGCGGAGGACATACTAGGAGCAGGAACAAATTTTGGTGAGCTTTTATTTTTTAACTGTCGTGCTGAAGGACTTCATGGATTATGTTTAGTAATTTCCTCTGTCTACAGCTGAATGTCAGCATGTACGAATATTGTAGACAAATTTGATACCTTGTCGCAATAAACACTACGTATGTACAGTTTTCTTCCAGAAACGTGTTTTTACAGTAATAGAAAAAAAACTTTTGGATGACGCGCATTTTCGATTATTCTTGACTTAGATAAGCGCTGCGCCTTAGAGCTTCCTAAATGTTCCGCAGCAATAGACCTCAATTTTAATTGGTCAACCTTTAAGTGCAGCTTGTGGGAAATGGTATACGCTGATTGCAATTACTTTATTTCATTTCTACCTCTACTTTAATAATTAATACCGTCCCCTTTAACAGCTTCGTCGTTGACCAAAATGCTCAAAAATGCTGAAGTTATGATACCCTCACACTAATCACGTTGACTTATTTTCTCTATATACAGTACATTCTGCAAGCTATTCACATTTTTTACATGATTTTTTTCAGTCAACTTTTATAGAATCGTTTTCTTTCTATTGTCATCTCCCCCCAACGGTGGTAGCTATTAAGTTATTGGCAATTTCTCTTATGTTTATCAAATTTCAAGCAAAATAGCAATGATCTCTATCATATATATAATCATAAGCCTATTTTAACCCTATCTTCAATTATGGTGAATCTTTGCGTCTAAATTAAAAAGAAACTACCCTTTAAATTGCCTCATTTATTGAGTTAAATTATAATTAATGAGTCGCCTTATTTATTCGTAAATACTTTATTTTCGTAACAAATAATGTGCCGTAATCGTAGCTGAAGGCGAAGGCAGAGGAGTTGAGTGTGTGTGCGTGCGGGCAGCGCCAGCAGTTCTCACAGAGCGCGCTGTCAAAGGGCCCCGCTGCCGCCTCTTCAGAACGCAGGGTCTCAACACTGGCATTGACTCGAGCCAGGTTGTCATCTTGACCATAATGATTATAACCATAATAAGCTTAATTTAAATGGGAATAATATCAATGAGAATAGTGGAAATATTTATTCGTACGGCTAATTATGGTTTGTTGCTAAGAAACGAAACATATTTCTGTGGATTGAGTGTTAAAATATATCATATTCACTAGCCCGTGGTATATTTTATGTATAAATTAATAATATTGATTTATTAGCTCTGGTAATTTCTTTATTTGTGGTCAGGAATGATTTATACCTATTCTGATTATTGTTCCTGATTCAAATCCTGTACAAGTATCAGGTTGAACTCAAGTATGTGGCTAAGATGTTACTCTTTGCGAGTTCAGTAACCATAAATCCCACTTGGAATCGAAAAATTCCATGCAAAAATTCCATTAGATTTTTTAATAGTGAGATTATATTCAGGTTTTAAGCTAGTTTTTGATAATGTAATGCAAATTGTCAATCAGTATAATTTGAGCAGGAAATTTTCAGCGGGCTTCCTTCCCACTGAATCCGGGTCGCACAACAGCCTCACGTCCGTGAAAACCCAGGAAACTTCCATCGACCCAAAATCCGACTCCTCGTTTAACGAATCCTCGTCGGACAGCTGTCGCCGTGAGAGCTTCGAGTTGAGGTAAAAATAAAAGAAGAAGACAGCGTGCGACATTAATTAAATCTTAAATTTGCGAAGAGATATTTTTTCTCAAGGTGATGGCATCTCTGGGGCGTTACTGCCAACACTTTCGAGTCCATGCGACAAGAATTTATTGTAAAAACTTAACAAGTGATTCGTTTTTTGTTTGGTTGTGTAAGTCACGCACAATATGTGTTTTATGCTTGTGTAGTTGGGGATTTATTTGATATAAATAAAATTAGATTTATTTGATATGAATTTGCTGATTTGCCTTAAATAAACATGATCACTCTACATCTTCATAGCATACTCGTATAAGCTGCCATTAACGTTAACCTCCGTCTTGCTGCTTCTCAGCTAGACAATATTTGTAGATGTGTTAATTTTCTTGTAATTTTCTTTGATTTTAAACAACCTTATATGAGACTCCGTCTGAAATATTACATTTCAGCCAACATTATATGATTTATGCCCTTTGAATAATGAAGTTTTTCATCTCTATATTTCTGTTATTTCTGTATGCCATGGTTCAGGCTTGCGTTCATTTCTTTGCACTTTAATCCTTCACTTTCCCTAAACACAAGCTCAACGCTTAGTTCCTCTGCCGCAGTTGTTCGGGTGCTTGTGCATCAGAGCCTCCAGCGTCACTCGGCCTAGGGAGTCGCTCTGAATCTCCTCCGCCCTTTGCGCCACCGGCTTCTGTGGTTCCTGAAGAAGGCGTAGCGTCTGCCGTTCCTCATATAGAATGAGGTCGGACAGAGCCAATGCGGAGGCAGCCAGGGTTTTTGCACTTACGCTGCGTAACGCAGGGTAAAGGCAACCTGGTAAAATGATTTAGTCATCGTTCAACTCGTGGCGCCATACCCTCGATCTCAATCTTTCAATGATTGTTAATTAAACTCTAATAAATTTCATCCGCGATGCTCAAAATTAAGTGCCATCATTCACTTATTCATTGTTTAAGTACATCTCCTTGATATAGAGTTCAACACTAATATGCTGCTAAGCTTTTTGCATCGAAATTGAGATCAAATGTTGATCTAACTGAAATCATGAAACCTTTGCTCGATAATCGAGTCGTCAACGAATAACGAATGTGATTAGATTCAGAGGAAGTTAGTGTGGTCTCCATTTTATTACATGTGTTTATGGAACATTCATTAGCTGGACGGTTTTAACCATGCTTGCAATCTATACAATATTAGATAAAATATTGTTATTTTTTCAAACAACTGTATTACACCTACAAAACTAGCAGACAATCCTTCTGATCGATAAAATAACTGAAAATTATTTCCGATGTCTTATTTTCAGACTATCTCATACGGGACCAGTTAATTGATGCATGCGTTTCCAGACTCGCGTCTCTATTGCTTGCTTATTAATTAAGAGAACCCGGCCTGTACTCCTGACCTGCAGTGTTCATAAGTGGACGAACCTACAAAAAGAATCAACCTACAGAGAAACGTGTTCCTTATCATTAACTCGGTCACACATAGCAACCAAGTCGATCGGTCGTACACACTACACATTTCTTCTCTTTCTAATGTCAGATCGCAACCCCATCTGTTTAGAACTTTAAGATCAACGTTCAAAGTACGATTCTTTTAATCTAAGTCGATGCCTATACATGTATTATTTGAAGAGAACCATTTGCTGTTTAGTGAATACGAGTAAACGAGAGACGTCTGCAAACAAAGTTTAAAAAATTTGAGGGACCGAAGTGGGACGAGGATAAAATATCAGCGACAGTGGTGTGTTGTGTTTTATATTTACAAGAGTATTGTTTGCTATTATTATTATCTAAAAGATCGTATTTCCATTTGTTATCGTAAATATATTCATATGAACTTTATGAGTACTAAGATCCAAATGCTATACAACTAAAATAGCAATTGCTGCAGAATGGCAACGAAATTTACCGGTTCTTCGGTTCTGCTTTGCAAAAAAAGTTCCGAGAAACGTAAACTAGAAGAATGTTAGAATGAAATAATGTCACTACCACCAAATTAATTTGCATCCAAGTGTTCCAGTATGAAAATATTTTTATAATAAGATATTAAAGAAAAAATAATAAATTGCGCATGGTTTGCTCGAACCGGAAAGATCTGTAATGATCTGTAAAATATTATCTATATTCGCCTTCCATTATAGTTCTAATAATACGAGTTTTGAACGGTGACTTATGATCTTGTGATCTTGTGATGAGTTTAGGACTTCGTAGTCCACGGTCACGCTGATGCGCGCCGCCTTCGTCGTCCACCGTCTCCGAGTCGTCGCTAGGCAGGTCTCGACCTATTTTCAAAAAAACCTACTGAAACCTTCAAAGTCATGTAATTCTGTGCCAAAATATTATGAGTTATACAGAAACATTTTCAAGTTATAGTTCCCTTATCTTACCTGAAATATTTTCAAAAATATTTTAAAGTTATTCTTCCCTTACTTTACCTAAACCAGATGCTGGAGGTTCGGAGGTTCACCATGAAGAAGCTTGATTCAGTGGACGATTCATTATACTCATGCCTGAATCAGCGTTCAAATCCCACGAATCCAGAATGTACGTTGTGATGAGATGTCCGACATACAGGTTTATTGATTTCTTTGTAGATCATTAGAGTTTTATGTGTTTGGCAATCAGCCATAAATTTGTTATTTTTTTAAGAAGTAATCATTTAATTAAATGATTTTATTTTCTTTTCCTCGATATCTTCATCATTATATATGCTGTCAGTCATTCAGGATTAAAATAAGTCAACAGCTGTGATAGATTATCTTGATTCTTAACTAAATCGATTAGTTTTATTACAAGTCTGTGTGATAATTGCTGGACGCATCTCTTCGTGACAACTAATATACTAAAATATTTTATAATAATATAATTTCCTTATTGCGATAAATTTGTATTACACACAATATTCATATAATATTGGACTTCGAAACAGTTATGAATAGCTTCACAATTATTTACCCTTTGCCCTCTCATTTTCAACAGCAAATGATTTTAAACCGCACAATTCCTGCCCTTCAAAGCTCCGATCGTGAGGCTCATATATACCGTCCCCAGCGGGAGAACATTTATTGGTGCCTTCAATGAAATCCAGGGTACATTGTTTCCATGAATATATATTTTGAGCTCTTTTTAAACCGTATCCACTGTCACACGCTTCGTTAATTTTTTTCTAAAAAAAAAGTTATTTAACCACGAGTTGGCGTCTCCTTGTTAATGCACTCACGGGACATTATGAGTTGTTTAGTTTTTATTGAAAATTTCAATTATTTTCCTCCAAAAATTCATTATAAATTTCATAGATCTGCAGTGCTGGTGTACTTAAAAAAACTAGTTGTTATGAAACTCACTTTCATTTTAAAAACCTTTATTTATAAGGACGCGAAATTGTCCCTCGAGACATGTTTTGACTTTACAAACCTGAAGAGCAAAATTCTGTGATCCTTTCAGTTACATTCTGGTCCTCATTCTGGTCGCTTTTATGTCGACTTATTCACCTTGAATCCGCAAACAGCATCGGTTTACACTTAAATTTGAGCTTTTACGAGTGTATTTTAACGGAGAAAAAGTGTTATAAAGAATAGCGAGCTCTACATTAGTCACAAAATCGAAACTTTTTCAGACATTAAATTATCTTGAAATGGCTGTGCAGTACAAAAAAGATAGGATAGTGAAGAGCTGTGGCAGGACTGGCAGGTATCGAGAATCAACAGGGTCTGTGTACGCATAAATGAGAAGGACGCCTGTCTCAGCCTGGAGGTGATCTATGGTGGTCGTCAAATTTAGGCAGCCTGTGGCAAGCAAGGCTCTATGATAGGTTCGATTTGGCCTGTATTAAGGTTCACGATGACAGTACAAGAAGTAACAAGGTACCAGACGCGGCTGGGTAGTTTAGTATTGGATGCGTGATGGTCTTGTTTTGGGTCGTAGCATAGTATCATTCCGTTCATTCGTGGAGAAGCCCTTTAGTATACGCAATTTGCCGTTTTGTTAACAGTGATTTTGACGTGAGGGGATTATGCCATGCATGGACTCTTAGGATTTCGGGATTTTCATTTAGGAATATGTTGATTTCAGATTGTGGCGTAAGGATGACTTTGAGGCTGATGAGCTACTGGGGCGATGAGTGTATCAGAGAACTTGCCTGAGCAGCTGCCAACTTCTTGGCAGTGGAGCATTTGTGGGTCGCCGAGAGTAGTTCCTCAGGCCAGCATCCTCAGTGTAGAGCTACGACGCCAAATTTAGTTAGGTCATCGGAGTATGAGGCGATGTTACAGGCAGGAACACTGAAGAAGCCGGATGAACAGTCAATCATAAGTGCCGGGAAGATTCCTGACTCTCGCGGCACGGTCCTGAATGGACCTTCACCCAAGGAGGGGGAAGTGCACGCGCACCAATCTCTATGGTAGCTGCTGATACAGCGGTTCAAGTAGCGGATGCAGTCTGTCCCCCGATATTTGCAACGCCTACGCAGCACGGGGGAGGACCTACTATACTTTGACCTGCGTTGCTGCCGGGGTTTCTCGCCGCCATCGGGGTTCCTCTGGTCAGCACCTTAAGCGTCGAAAGGCTTGCTACACTTCCAAAAAATTATTGCCAGCACAAACGAGTTCATACAAATTTATTAACAGCAATTAAAGTTGTCCATGAATGTAATTCTATATCCTCCAAAACATCATTTTGAGTTTTATCCATTCTTACGTTCTCTTGTCTGCTTTTGGTGCAGCCTTTTGCACCATCGGCACCAGCATTTCGTCATTAACCTGAGTGAACTATAACATTTCAAAGTCATCCTTTACCTATAATAAATTAGAAGGAACTGTACTTCACAGTAAGCTAATGACGTATTAAGCGTTTTTTACGAAACAAAACAATATAATAATCAGGACTCTAGAAGTCGATATTCTGAGGATGAAAGTTATTCACACGTATAAATAAATCCATCACTGCAAACTTCTATTTCTGCTGGACAGGATGCAGTTAAGAATTTTGTTTTTACGTAGCTTTTTACAATCTATATCAATAATAATGCATGTAACTTATAGATGTCGATGTTGCTGAGATATTTCCTATCGGTCGAATAGTGTTATAGGTAATGTGTCTTTGTGCTAAATGAAAATGTACTGAACAATAAATAATTGCATACATTTTATGCGTAAATGCGGAGAAATGAGGTCTTCAAGCAATAAAGAAATTTAATTAAAAAAACCTAAGAATGGCGCACTGAAGAAACTATGTTATTAAATAAATAAAGAGGAATAATAAGTTATTCATATTGATGATGCATTTTTTAAATGTTTATGCTATGTACATCTGTTGCAGAGTTATCCCCCATTTTTATCCCCAGGTTAGGTAAAATAAACAAAAATAGTTCCTAAAACCGCATAGGGATAAAAGCTAATTAAGTTCACTAGGACGGATCACCGATCAATGAAAGCCTAAATAAATAATTACTTGCCGCGAAAATAAAAGAAAATGTGGTAGAGAATAATGGATAAATGCGCCCTAAAATTGTCTATTCTAAAGCTACAAAACGGGGAGAAAATTTGTAAAAGAAAATTTGTGAGAAAATTAAATTTGGAAATTGCGAGAAAATTCCAAATACAACAAGACTACGAAACTTGTGCACTTCGACTGGACAAGTTTTGTTATTTGAGAAATATTTTGTAAAAGACTTTATTCCTACAGAACTGAAAGCACATTATGAAGTTTTCTAAACAAGTTTTCAATCAAAGTTTAATATAATTAGACAAAAGTTGTTATACTCCAACATAACTGAACAACTGAGCTTAAAAATCGGTTTGAAAAACGCTTCTGTATCCTTTCATCCGCTAAAATGCTTCAACTGATAAATATAAATGAAAATCCCACAAAGATTTCAAAATTGTTCTTCATGAAAACGATCAACAAGTGACACGACTTCAAGTAGTTGAGGAAGATACACTAAAAAAGTGGTATAGGCGGGAAACAGTTTTCACGACATAATTGCATGAATCTACGAGTTTAACTTATTCATACCCTAACTCGGCGCGCAAGTAAACAGTGTGCCGTGTTAAGTAATCCAGCATAAGTAATCAACCACACCCGGCCACCAGAAGATGAAAAAGATAACAAAAAATGGGCAAGTGTAAATAGGAGGTGCCGTCACGGCAGTTGTGGTCGTGACGGTAGCCGGTGTAGAGGTGGTTGTCGGTGCAGGCGTAGGTACTATAGGAATGATAGCAGTAGTTGGGGAAGGTGATGAGGACGTCGCTGTTGTGGGTGGTTCGGAGGTCGTTGATGTGGTGGGAGTTGAGAACGAGGAGGTCGAAGTCTCCGTGGTAATGCCTGAGGTCATTGTCATGGATGTAGTGGCCGTAGAGGATGATACGGAAATAGTTGAAGATGAGGCACCTGTAGAAGTAGCTGTGGAAGACGTTGGGACAGGAGTGGTATTGGTTGTGCCAGTTGTACTCATCGTGGAAGCCTCACATGTCACAGAAGTTGATGTCATGGTTGTTGTTGTAGTAATAGTGGTTGTAATGATGTTTTGCAGGCATGCGTCGTTTGCTGGGAACTGGTCAGCTGCTTGACAAGTCATATTTGTGTTGCTGTACATAGTTCCCTCGGTAGCGCACCGACTTAACACTTGTCGGTACGAGGTGCTGCCGCTCGCACCGATCGGGAACAAACACGAGTAATACCAACGGCAGTCGTTGACGTTCGCGAACGTTCCCAAAACCGAACACCGGGGAACAGGAGGAATTTTGGCACATATTTTTTCAGTTATGAGGAATTCATTTCTGGTTTCGCATGCATTCAATTTAGGCAAATTGGAACCATCGCACTGAAGGTATGAACGAGGGTCGAATGGATCAGGTTTTTCCTCAGTCACTCCCGGGATGCAGGAGCAGTTGGTCTGTAGACCAGGTTTGCAAACCCCTCCTCCAAACGCAGGGTCTGGGTAACACGATTCCTGTAACAAAGTTGTGGTTATTGAAGAAGCATGAAGAGTAAAAAAGGAAGACATCATCACAGATTAAAAAATTGAATTGGTCAGCAATCAACATTAACCTTGCGCTTTTGCCTAAATTTTGAAACTGTAACTTAAGTAGCTAGTAAATAAAAAAGTATCGAAAGTGCACGATCCGGTTAAATTTAATAAATGCCAGGTTACTTCTCTTTCGTGTAATTCCTCACCTCAATGATTAGTTGATATATATTAAGGGGGTTGCAATATCGATACTTAGTGTTATCTCTGTTGTATCAGATGCAGAGCAGACATTGGCTAAGAGACTATAAGTTGAGTTACTAGGTTGATGAACGTACACGAACGCCAAAACTGCTGAAATTTTGTTAGGTAATTTTTGTCAATCTAGATGAAGCAAATTGCGATTTTCCAAAACAATATTCCAATGAGCTGTAATTTATTTTTTAAGCCTGCAAGCGTATCTAGACATACGTCAATTTAAGAAGCTATCCAGTTCTAGAACAAAATTTTATCGAGAATATTTCCCACCTGAGGGAAGGCGCATGCCTGTACGAAGGCTTTTGAGTCTATGCAGATGACAGACAAGGAGCACGAGGCGCAGCCAAACTTAACACGAGGATCAATGCAAACGTGATCATGTCTGGGAGCTCGGACTGGAGTTGGAGGAGCCGGAGACTGAGTAGCTCTTGTTTCCAGATCAGACCGAGCGTTTGCATTCTCTTTGACGTGGAATTTCCATCCAAATTTTGGTTTAGAGTAGAACGAAGAAATTGATGTTGCTGGCCAACTCCTGTTATAATCAAAATCATGTTCCGTGATTTTGATTGGTCGAATCTGGTTATGGGCTTCTTTGTGCGTTGGCAAGCTGTTTCTATGTTTAGTTTGTAGCCTGTAGTGCTTCTTCCTAAGCTGAGTTATGTCATTTGAACTCAAAATTACACTGCTAGCTGATTTACCATCCAGCTGTCCATCTTCAAGTTCTTCGCGGTCAGAAATGTGAGAATATTTTACATTTTGCCTCAATTGAGGGCCTCCATTAGTATTTGAGAAATTTTCAGATTTGACAGCTGATGTAGACGTGAGTTTATGCTTTTCTTCAGTGGGTGAGTTTGAACTTGCCGTGATTTCATTTCGCCTCTCAATAAGCTTTCGAATGTCTTCTGCAGTTATAATTCGAAGTTTAGTTTTTTTATTGCTTACATCAATTGGAGTATTCAAACTTTTCGGTCCAGCTCCTACGTAGTCTAAAAAAGCGAAATTCTTCTGACGATTGATTACATACCGACTTTGTGACTTATTTTTATTCAAATCCAGGTTTGACGCTATGAAAGCATTTGGGTTTTCTGTGTGTGCCTGATGAATCTCGGTTTTTAAATCTTCGTGCGTGGAAGATTGCCTTTCCTTATTTGCACCTTTAAATCGTTCACGGAGCTTTTGAACTGTTTCATCCACGTGTCCTGTACCAACGGAGTCTGGATCAAGATCTTCTCGGCTCAGATTCGGAGCATAAAACCAACGAAGAAACCTAGAATTGTCGCCTCTGTAAGAACTTTTCTCCATTTTCGTGTACTTTGGAACGATTCGAGTGGCCGATCGTGGATGGGAGTTCCATTGTGGCTGAGTAGCAGCTTGCTGGGTTCTGAAAGCACGGACAACATCAGTTTTGCGAATGAATTTTTATGTACGTCAGCCAAAGAAAGAAAACCATTGAAATAGAAAGAATGATAGCCCACGTCGACTTGAAGCTTTCGTTTGTAGGTTCTTCTACATAAACTATGACATGGCTATGCAATTGCCAAGCTCGTCAAGCAACTGTCAAGTTCGTCAAGAACTTACGGATGCGTTGAACTTTTCCAGTGCATATTATTATTACACAAAGTTTTGCCACAATATTCTCCTCAAAATTATAAAGGAGTTTGAGCATGAAAAATATCATAATCAAAACAGTGGGAGACATATAGTTAAAGGAAATGAAATTAGAACAAAACTTATGGTAGATTAAAAAAAAATTTAGAACGTAATTTTTTCGTATTTAATGATGGATCGACACATAAGTCATAGAAATGTTAAACCATTAGGCGCAATTATTAGTGAAGCGTTGATTGAATAAGTCTAAAATTGGGCCACAGTTTACCGATGTAATCTATGATCCACCTGCGGTGTCAACGACGTCTTCGCTAGGCCCTGAAACCCGGAACAGGTCTTATCCACAACCGCCACTACCTCGCTCTCATAGATCAGATCAGCCTTTTAGCGTGGCACGTGGTGCCTCTAATTTCTCGTTCAGTTACTATCAATGATGTGCGTTAAGATCTACTCCGGTCGAAAGCACACTCCAGCGACGAAATCGGAAAATCTTTTGAGAAACAATTCAGAGAATTTATTCGGAAAAGGTTACTTTGTGCCGATTTCTCTAGCCATTCTGCATGTAATCGGATCAGTGTGTTCTCAGACACGTGAAGGCGCATATTTCTCTTGCAATAACTTGATCCCAAGAACAGGTGGGCTTCTAGATTGCATATGAGTGACGAAATCAACATGCCTGTATAATATAACTTGTCAAATCGCTTAAAAATAATTTCTTTTTCATCACTTATTTTTGTCACAGTTCCTTAACATACTTCACCACAAAAACGTTACGAATCTTATTCAAAATCACAGCCGATCACGAAGCAATGATCGAACTAATAATTAATTTCAGACATTCGAGTGATCATGGCTACCAATGCGGCATTCAGCGGTGATCAAAATCCGCACTGCCTGCCCTTTTCCCCGGACGGCCTACAGTGCGACTCATCTACGCAAGATGTTAACGAACGCAGTTTTAAACGTACTTCTAGTGTGCATTTATCCATGGTTATGGTTTGTTTGGGGTGGCTACCGACACTGTCAACACCGGGGCCCTTACCCTACACAACGATTGTCAGTCGTACTTGGTACGTAATTATATGTTATATTTACCACTGGTTGAACTTTATAGGTCACATTTTGAATCTCGTTATTCTGAGTGATTGTATGAATTTATTTTAAATTTCACATACATGAGTGCAGCTGCCATTGAGGAATGACTGACTCATGATTTCAAAATACACGACGATGAATATTTCGGACCTTTGGCAGCTGTAAAGTGTGAAATCAGCAAGTGACGCGGTGATACTAAATTCAAATTTAAAAATGAGCGAGGGTGACTGAATTATGTTCATTTTTTGAGTTAATATCCCGCCGGAGACGATCAGGTAATAATTCGAGGACAGAGATAGTAGGAAAAGAAACTTAAGAGCAGCAGTCCGTGACCCAGTCTGAGCTAATGGCCAGCTGATGTTTGGCAGGCCCGTACGTTTGCTGCTGGCAAACACGATTGCTCGGCCAACAGTGGCAGAAACCATTTCAAGGAAGCAGAAGACGAGCAGCAAGATAACGAAAAAAAAATCCAGCAATGCCAGTAGCAGAGGAATGAGCTCCTTTTAGTATCTGGAATTTTAACTGCCATTGATTAATAACTGACTTATAGATTTCACTCTGCATGAAAATGGCATAAACCACTTCGCGTCATCGTAGTTGAGACTCAGTGTATCAGTACCAAATTATCAGAAATATCTGTCGACAAATGTATTACCATCTTGATCGAGTTGCCCTGCATTAAACTTCCAATGCATCAAATAGATTACGATTTCAAATGATTGCGAACCATCGCAATTTCAGTAGGATGAATCTATAATTGAAATATTAAAATGCCGTCGCAAAAACGTTTAATCAGAATTTCAAAGCAAAATTTATGCATCAAATTTCCCCTGAAGAAATAATAATAATAATAATTTCGAGATACTGGTAGTGAAATTTTGTACAAAATTATAAATTAAGTGAGAACTATGCTACGTAATATTCTTGCGAGAAAATGTCTAAGTGGAAATTTATCATGATCGTGTGATAAATTTCTTATAATTATTTAGAAATGCTGATCAATAAAAGATTATAAGATAATGCGTGGCTAACTTAAACTTAGGAGTATAATTTGTATTAAAATTAAGCATACTTTAACGGAAATGATTTCGAAGCATAATTTGGTCCATTATGCTTTCAAAACTTGTGCATGAATATTGTTCGGACTAGTGGCTGCTACTCATCGCAGTTCTCGTTTGAACAAACATGCAGCGATTGCAGCTCTACTCTGACTGGCATGTCAGCTCCCGACCTCTTAACCCTCATATGGGATGTCAACCAATGATTTTTTTTTAACTCTTTTTAACTTCCTTCATTCATTTCTATTCTAACTATTATGTTATTTTTATCCAATTGATGGTTTATTGTTGGTTGTTTATTGGTTGACTTGGTGCATTTCTTATCTATCATTTCCATTATTTTACTTTTTTTCACTTAGGTACGCATGTACAATTTGAAACCCTGCCTTCGACCGAAAAAAGAACGGAAAAAATTCATCACTGAGCAACGAAAGGAGGGGCTGTACAGGATTCCCCCCTTCATTAACCGTGCCGCGGCCAGAGTAGACTCAGCTATTTCAAAAATAAAATACCCACAGCACACGCAATATATGTCTCACTATAAATTTTTCACAAGAAGAAACTTTCCAAATTATTTGAGTCGAGATTTCTTATCGCATTTACGAATTTGATTGCATGTGTTTTTCATGAAAACTCGATTAATGAACGGAAGGAATCTTCCGCTGAATTATTATCTCTTTCTTCACCATTCCGCCATAACAGATCTGATTTCAGGCTAATTCGAGAACATTCTTTACAGCAAGGCTCCACTGAACAGTGATTCTAAGCAATAATTCAAGATTTATGGTACATTCATTCGAAGAAGATTAGAGATTTATGTTGCATACACAGTTGCCTTATTTTGCTCGAAAAAACAAAATGTTTCAGTTTCTCATTTCGTATAACAAACCCAACTATTTCGGGTGATTGTACAATTTCCAGGATGTTAATTCCCCAACTGTAATAACTCGGCAGCGATCGAAATTAGAATTTCGTTTGCGTGATTGAGGAGATTTTGTGATTTAGGATAGGGTAGCTACTGACGTTATTCACCCCTACATGTCAACAACTGGAATTCCGTTATATCTTTGGTTAGCAGTTCAATGCATCGCTTTTTTGTGAAATTAATTTTATTTTCCATTTTATTGGAAAAACGTTCGTGATGATGCCTTTCTGATTTAATAATTCGATTAACATGGAATTTTTAGCCACCATGATGTCATTCCTACAAATTTTAAAACGTATGAACAATAAAGAATGGAGATAATTGGAATGAACACTTAGTATAAATAATGTGTAGAAAGCAGCAGGTTCGCGTCGTCAAGCTTTTGTGGCATTCTAAGTTTCATAAGTTACTCATTGATCTTAACTGAGCAGCTGAAATTTCAAAAATTTAAAACAGTTAACTACCGAGTATTTAATGCAAATACATGTCCAAGGTGATGGTGTAGAATGGGTTTTACAATTGAAAGGAATTTTTTAATGTGGAACGGTTAAAAAGTTTTCAGTTATTTTAGAATGAACAATATTTCTAAAATCCTTTCTTACTAAAACTTTAATTGCATAAATCCTTAAAAGTTGATTGTCTTGAAAATAATGATTAATAAATCATTAATAGAAATAGAAATAAATCATTAATAGGATACAGAATTAATGATAATGATAACTTAGAGGAAATTTATAATAAATTTTAATATAACACACGAATTTAATGACGCGTGATAATTTAATTGATAACGACTTTAAAATAATTCGTAAATAAAATAATAATTGAATGTATCATCAAATTTTAATTTCTAAGAATAAAGGATCGTGCATTAATTGAAAATATAGTTTATTTCAATAAATACATGGGTTTAAGGAAACTTGATAATTTTCTAGTACATTATGAAAAAAATTTAGTTTGATTGCAGATATTTGGGGAATTATAAAGTATACATATAAAAGCTGATTTATTCATGAAGCCTTCCAATAAAGGATAAAACATCATTAAATTTAAGTTTGAATTCTACTGCCAAAATACAACTAGTGACAATTTATTTGAAAAATCATTTCATAAAATTAACTCTTAGAGGCGAGAAAATTGTTGGCAAATTCATTCAACGTTCGCATTCAAAGTAATGTTTACTGATCAATAAATTTAAGTCGGCTTGAAATTCCACTGAATGCAACTGAAGCAATATTCATTTTCTATCGTCTGAATCCTCAATTAAATCAATTGAGAAAACAATTGTTACCTTGCCACAAGTTAAGCGTATTTAATAATTTTAATTTCGAGCATTAAAACAATCCAAAAATGTACCTCTCAAATAAGTTTCTTCTATTTATATTCGTTATAACATTAATTCCTATTTTATATCTCCTGTAAAATTTTGCCCTTTTACTGCCTTTAATTTTTTTAATTAGATGAAGGTTTCGCTCTGGAATGTCATTCTCGTACAAGTGCATGGTCTAAAATCGTATCACTTTTAAGAGATAATAAACTAATGCGAATTTGCAATGAATATACCTTTGTAAATGAGTAGGAATCTTAGTTAGTATCACTCACGACTGATCGGGGAGCACAGCGATGTCGTGAGGACTCAGCGATCTTTCCTGAGGTAGCAGGATCCTCGGTTCCTGTAGCGCTGATCTCACGTCCTGAAAAACATAAATCTAAATTAAAATGATTAAATCGTTAATAATGAATGAACATGTGTTAGAAGAATCTTTTAAATTCATGATAATTTACGAGAATCTTCAAGATTTTCTTTGTCTAACGAAATTCCAATGTCCATTGTCGCTCCATGACTTGAAATTAAATACAATATTAAGGTGTAATAATCCACTGAATAAATAAGTTTTGTTGAAATGCAATAGATTGTCAAGCGATTCAACCAACAGATGTTAATTTTATATTATCATAGACACAAAAAGATCTACGTAGAAAAAGCTCTTCTAAATGAAATCAACAAATTCGATTTTTTTAATTCTAAAGAAAGTGATTCAGAAGATTGTTATTAACGGAAGGCCGTTTCATCAGGCAGGGATACAGTTATATCCAGCAGGTGTAGAACACATGGCGCTTCGTTGTGGAGTAATTAACAATCATACACTGTTAGAAAAAACGGTGAAAAAACGGTCCCACTGGCATTCTAGTGGCCGGTCGCCCCGTGAAAATAAACTGTTTCGCCGTTTTTATCAGATGTTTTACGGATTTCTAGTGTTAAATAAGAATAAAAACGGCGACACGCTGTTTCTTTTCACGTGCCGACCCGCCACTGAAACGTCGGTAATGCCGTTACCGGTAGTTTTTCTAACAGTGTACCTGCTTTATAAAAGCATCAGGGTTGCATACCTGGCAGTTCTTACAATCAGCAAAATTTGCGATAACATCTTCGAAGGAATTCGCAAGACTGATCATGCAATCAAAAATCGGATTCACAACATTTTCATATGAAAGATAGTTAAATATGTATGTTATCAACACAATCAACCATGTGCTGCTGAATGGCTATATATGGACTAACCACAGATATGTTCTTATATTATATCAAGTTTAAATTAATTTGGCGTCGTAAAAGTTCTATTCTTATGCAGTTTCTTATTGTGATGAATGTACGTGGGTCTCAAATGCACATTAATGGCTTGCATCGTATTATTTATTTTTACCGAATTTTAATCAGTCTTTTGATAAACAAATTGAAAAATATTTTCCTTCGTCCGTTGCCTCATCACTGCTCTTCATACTACAGATGTATGGCTCATGAATCCCTCGTGGATTTGCTCCGCTACTAAGCATACTAAGTGCTAGTTTTTAAATAACTTTTTGTTTTATACGGCAATGCAATCCAATTATTCAGATAAATTTTCATTGTGGCAACAGTGTTAATGAATGTTAAATAAAGCAATGTGTATTAATATTATTCAATGTCAACAGTTCTTCTCTCTTTTGTCACAAGCAACATTGTACCGGCCAAACTATCCGGTGCATGTTTTATTCGTTTCTAGGCTGGTTCTTAGATTAAACTCAGGATCTTCTATCCTGCCGGATTTTTGCACTTTCTCTGAGCTGGACATGGTCGTGTAAACTTTTCCCAATCAACTAATGAGATTGAAACGAATGTTCATTATAGTTGAAAGTCGTTGATTTAAACGAAGTTTTTAAAAGTCCTGGTGGCAGCCAGTAGGATAAGTTTTTAAGATAAGATATTTATTTAGTATTTTAGTAGTTAGGAATAATATTTAGGAAATCATATTGTCAGGAAAACGTAAGGTTTTTACAGAAATAATTACTATTTACCGTTTAGAAAAATCTTTAGAACGGCGTGCGCTGCTACAGTCGCTAAGACTATGTCACTTACAAATGCCTAAACTTCTTAACAATCGAAATTCGGATTGCACTCGGAGTCGCCCTGGGCTCCATTGACCCGGCGTAGAGGTGAATCAGGTGCAAATCGGCCACTTAATCTTTTCGGCTGTTAATTAGGAGCTTATTGCAGGAGTTGATTGCACGATGAGTCTGCGTAACATAAACAAGAGCAGCTGCCAGGGCCTATACTTTAAAAAAAGTTAAGAGATCGTAAGTTCATCAGCCAATCATTGACGGCCCTTCAAGCAAAATCCACCAATCATAGACAAGAAAATAGAGCGTAAGTACTTACGTTCACTTAGCGAATTTTGAAAGTCTGGTCAGGCTGTCGCATGTCAGACGCTGGAATTTGGACGAACCATCACCAACTCCCACTCATGGAATGGCGTCGATGTATATGTTCACGCGTGTGTTTGTTTAATCATATGATAGAACGACATGAGAATTGACTTAAACAATTTTTTAGCTCACGTGGTAGTTACATAATAATTTCATTTATTATATGACACAAATATCTTAATTTATATTGTTGTAGCCTATTTGATAAGCACAGGCTGTTTGAAGGTATGGGGTGTAGGAAGAGAAAAATACTTGATAAGGACGTGGCAGTAAAAAATTTATGTGTGTTAATGTCATTCAAAAGGGAAAATTGCGAAAAAATAATCAGCAGCTTCATTGCTGAGAATTCAATGCATTCTAGTAAATCGTATTTCTTTATTGGTTTTAAGTACACAAACTTTTGGACAAAATTCGAACCCGACCTTTTCATGATTAAACTCGTCAGCACTATTACGAAATACATACTAATTTTCAAAATTTTGTGAATTTAAATGTCTAATTAGATGATTATAGTTAAAGTTTAGGAAATAAAATTATTTTTCGTTAGCTTGCAGACCAACATTATTTATTTCCATCAGAATCTCGATAGAATGTTTAGAGAGAAGAAAAGTTTGGGTCTCATGTGAAGTGAGTGGAGCACGATTTAAAGTGCAATATATATAATATATAGCACATGCTACATAAATTGTTCGTTACGAAATCTGGCGATATTGCTTGATTATCCTTATATTAATATTAATCCTCATGAATATCTCGTGAGGATTAAAAAGCCTTTGGCTTCCAAAAATGGATTGACATTTTTTTTGGAGGTTCGTCAGTTGTGCTAAAAAATCTAAATTTAGAAAAATTTTACATTTCATTCTTTCATGCAATTGGTTTTTTGTGCACGATTGTTTAAATGTTGAATATGAACACACAATTTCCAAAGTCGGTAAATGTTCTCCAAGACTTAAAGAGGAAAAAATTACTGGAAATGCATCCAAAATGTGACCACCTAGTAAAACTTAATGAACAGACCGAAAATCGACAACAGTTCATATCTTAACAGAAGTTACAACAATTCATGCCAACTACTGAAATGCCATCAATCGAATCAACTATTCCACCGAATGATTGAGAAATTCGTTTCCTCATTGATTAAGCACGAAATTTATTGGAACCGTCAACGAAAACCGCAAGATGAATCCTACTACCTCCTCCGAGCTGGCACATCTGCCGACGATGACGCAGCAGAACGGTTCGTCTCATGTGCCTTGATTAACGACCCCAGGTTCGATGGTGCACAAGAACTTCTCGATTAATTGCATTTCACATGAAATTGATCTTTTGTTCCCATGCAATTTGAACTGTACAGATTCTTTGATGGAAATTTTAGGAAGCGGGTGGTCGGCGGACCAAGAAATTTGCTTTCCGTGTAGCGGCTTTCGAGCTCCCAGTAACTGAACTTTGGGTGAGGAAAAAATTCAGCATAATAAAGGTAATCGTAATGTCTTTGTAGGCATAGAAAGTGAATCGAGATGCAATTCATTGTAACTTCAAAGTTGAGAACTGATGTTCATCGTAATTTCTTCGCAGTGGAATGAAGTTCCATATCGGAACCTCCTCGTATGAGAATGAAGTTCAGTGCTAAGTCCTCGAAATACAGTTCATCGAAAGGCCCACTTGAGGAGAATGAAGTTCATGATAACTTCATTGCGGAAAAAATGAATTCTTTTGACGTTAATTGTACGAGGAGTGAATTCTTTATGACGTTCTAGTAGGAGAAATAATTAACGTACTTGTAAAGATTTCATAGATGAACTAGCTTTGCTAAAAGTCATCGTGAAAAAATGAACCAGCAGAAAATTCTATTTTCAAAACGAGAGTATAGCAACCGAAGAACTACATATCGTCGCGTCGCAGAGCATTCGCAGATTATATAATAAAATGTATTTCAACAATTCATATTTACCGAGCTCCCTGAATTATCTTTAGCGAATTCAATTTATCGTAAGTAATAATATTTGATAACTGCATATATTTAAGACTGCTACTCAAATTTGTGACAAAATTAAACTTTTTAGCAAGTCCGGTGCATTCTAACGAAATTTTAAAATAAGTTTAATAATAAATGACTGCAACATTTCTCGATAGAGGACATTTGAGTATTTGCAATTAAATATTCTAGGATATGGATAACCTAAACCTGCTTCGAAAGATTGTACTTTTTGTTTAACTATCGCCGCACTCACACGTACGTCTAACTCGTCTTGCTCGGTCAGCACGGATTTCGAATAAAAACCTGACCACAAAAAGATGACCGGAAGCGAATTAATGAAAACCGAAGCGATGCGCATGCGCAGCAGCGGCCTGCGCACGATGATCCTTTCAGCGAGTGAGCTCGCTTCTGTTGCACTTTTTCTGGCAGATCGTTTCCAGAAGTTTTTGCTAATTTTTTGTTGCGCGGATTTCCGTGATTTGCGGGACTGATCAGGGCTCGGTGCAAGACGCTACTCTCGCGCAGACTTCATTTGTCTTTTTGAGTTTGCTCTGCAATTTACCGTCACTGCCTAAAACTTTTTGGGAATGAGTTTTAGAAAGCACGTTAAGTCGGCTGGAGTGAACAAGAAATTTGTTAGCGGGATGCCGTCTATGCTTGCCACGCGCTTAGCAATGCATTATATATACGAATGATAAACTTCAAATAACTGATACGTAATTTCGATCGGCTATGTCCGACAGCGCACCCAAAAAATTTTTTTCTCAACAAGATGTCCTAGTTGAGTTACCGATCTTGTCTTATTTTATTATTACACCACATTTATTTATTTTGTAAGAAGAGGTGTGTCCTCCATTTCTTTCATTCAATCGCGGTTTATATTAAAATTTTTGCTGTTTTATTTTGTGTTGTGGTATTCGCCTTACAGAAAAATCGGGCAGACTTAATTTTTTCTCAATTCCCAAAAGTAAC